CCCCCCCCGTTAGACTTACTGCTGGCAAGACAAACCAGACTCTCGCACCACTTGTTCATTGACCAAACAACTCATAGTAATGGGCCTCCAATCCTATATTAACGGCACATCCTCCACAGTGTACCCTGAAAAATACACTTGGACGCCTTCTCCAAGTACACAAAAGACGTGTAGACCAGATAGGCAAACTTTCTCAACTCCTTAAGTACACTACTGTGGGTAAAGATCTGGTCCAGTGTTCCACGATCAGGACAGAAATTGCATTGTTCCTCCTGGATCTAAGACTTGACCAACAATCAGACTCACTTCTCTAGTACCCCTGAACAGACCTTACCAGGGAAGCTAAAGAGAGTGATGCACCTATAATTAGAGCACACCCTCCAGTCCCCCATTTTGAAAAGGGGAACCACCACCCCAGTCTGCCAATCCAGTGGCACTGCCCCCAATGTCCATGTGATAATGCGAATGTATGTCAATTAAGGCAGCCCCTCAACATCCAGAGTCTTCAGGAAATCAGGGCCCCCAGAGCCCTTCCACCACCACAGTTATGGACAGTCCAACCCCAAAGTCCCCCAACTCAGCTTTCTCCATGGAAGACAAGCCAGTGGGATTAAAAAGGTCTGAGAAGTCCTCCTTCCCTTTCCTGATGACATCACTGGTTGAGGTCAATAGCACCTCACCTTCACTGAACACAGTGTTAGTAAAGTGCTGCTTTCCTCTCCTTAGCCACCTGATGGTTTGCCAGAATCTCTTTGGAGTTATCTGACAGTCTGTATCCAAGACTTTAGCAAACTCCTCCCACATCCAAGCTTTCGCCTCAGCAACATCTAAGGTTGTAGCCTGCTTAGCCATCCAATACTCCTCAGCTGCCTCCGGAGACCCACCAGCCAACAAGGACCGACAGCACTCCTTCAGTTTCACAGCCTCCCTGACCCGGGATGTCCACCACCACAGAGTTTGAGGATGGCTAACGCAAGACACACCAACAACCTTGCATCCACAGCTCAAGACAGCCACCTCAACAACTGAGGTACGGAACATAGCCCATTCTGACTCAATGCCTCCACCTCAGCTGGGACATGGTTAAAGCTCTCCCCGAGGTGTGAGTTGAAGATCTTTTGGCAAGTTCATCTGCCAGGCATTCCCAGTAATGTTTGGGTCTACCAGGTCTGTTGGGCATTTTCTCCCATCATCTGATCCAACTCATTACCGAGTGGTGATCAGTTGACATCTCAGCTCCTCTCTTCACCCAAGTGTCTTAAACAAACAGCCACACATCAGATGACACAACTACAAAGTTATTCATTGATCTACGAACTAGAGTGCCCTGGTGCCAAGTGCACTTAAGAACACCCTTATGTTAGAAAACATGATGTTTGTGATGGACAAAGCATGACTAGCATAGAGGTCCAACAACAGAACACCACTCGGCTTCAGATCAGAGAGGCCATTCCACCCAGTCACGCTGCACCAGTTCACACTGTTGATCAGTGGCGCTGGAACAGGGGGTCTAGGGGGCCATTGTCCCCCCACTTTACGGCCACTTTATGGCCCTGCTCATCAGCTGGTCCCAGCCATTTACAAAGGCTACACCCAATGCTGACAAGCTGTGACTGATGCCTCTCTCTCTGTGTATCTACATACAGACAGAGGCACAGGCAAAACATACAGCATTCAGATCTGGGCCAAATTCGTATAAAAATCACCAGATCTGCATTTTCATCACCGGAGGGTAAAGCTGTCATTTCTAACTCGAACCCGGAGCCGGCCCCGCCCAACCCAGATTTGATCGGGGTCGGGCCATAATAGTGTGCTTAATGTGTGGGCCAGGTCAGTGTCTGGCTTTATACTGTGTCAGGGACAAGCGCGGCCAACGATCCAATATATGCAAACATGGCTTGCCATACTACACCTGCCGCACGCGGCCATTTCACCACAGGCTGACTGGCTGGTTGAAAGAGGTAAAAAGTTCAGTTAAACTTCAGATGGACTACTGCCAGTGATTCATCAGCCCAAATTGAAGTTCATTCAGCTGCTGCACTCAGCAGACGCACACGACTGATGACCCAAACAGGTGAGATCACAAAATATCCGACATGTCAGAGCAGGATGCAGGCAGAAGCAGGTGAAGCATTTAATGCACTTTGATGGTTCCTCATCTCCGATATTCTGGCCCCTTTACTCAGCCGTGCATGTCCGCCAATGGTTAATAGTAGTCAGTGGTATAAGCAGTCAAAACTTATTTAAAAATGTTAGGATTTTTTTCGGGTTCAGACCTGAAATTATTGTTAATTTGTCGGATCGGGTGGGGTTCAAAGAGGATGGCTGCAGGCTGGGGCCGGGTTGGTTCGGATTACTTGGACCCGAGTGCAACTCTACAGGAGGGTTTAAGCACCGGGTCGGGCTGGGATCATGAGCCTGCCTGACACCTGCAAAAAATGTTTTGGCTGTGATCTGGTCCGGTCTGGACCAAATCAGCCTCAAAATTAAATAAGAATTTTATATTTGTGCCTCATCTGACCCAAATGCAGTACTGTGGGCCACCTCTGACTCTGATCTAGATGCACACCCGACTGCATTTTATCACAGTCATGCCGGTTACAGGCCATTGGAAAACGAGAGACCCCGGGCCCAAGTCCTTTTACGGGTCCGGGCCAAATGCTCACCTGTATTTGGCCCAGAGCAGATAACTTTTGAAAAATAATTGTGCAGATATCCTGATGTATGCTCAGTAATCCAGGTAGAAAAATCTTTAAAAAAAAGTTAAGTCTGGTCCTCTGGACGGGTTCAAAACACAAAAAAATTGTAAAAACTTTTCGTCTTTCATCCGACGAACTTATTTTTTTTTTAAAATTGTGCATATAGTTTGTAATTTTTGCTCATCCAAAAGCCAGCTGAAGTTTGCAACTGTGCAGCAATGCTGGTCGCTTTGGAGAAAATGTAGCCAGAGGAGGAGAAGAAGAAACTTAACTTCTCATCTCTGAAATAACAGAAGAAAAACATAATCATTCAGGTGGCAGCAGGTCTGTTCCGATTTCTGAATGCATGTCACTCAGAAACGGGCATCACATAATTTCTCCAGACATCCAT